ATCCTAAGGCTCCTTCGGAATGATGCCCACACCCCTAACCTTAGCTGGACCCACTGGGACTGACCCAAGACTGATCTGAGGATCATGGCTCCTTGCCTGCTCTGGGGCTTCTTTGGACTTGTAGCTGTGGTCATGGACTGCCCACAGCATTGTGTGTACAACCTTCTCTTCTTTTTGTTTCACCCCTTCCTCTCACCTTTCCTCTTATCCTCCTCCTTCTCCTCTTCTCTCTCTCTCCACAACATAAATAATGCACACTCCTTAGTTTTAAACAGTAGTTCCACTCCTCACCTGCAAAGCACTTAACCTCTCAGCTTACTTGTCTGTAAAATGGGGATAATAATAATCCCCACCTCTTACAGGGTTGTCAGGGAGATTCAATGAGTTAATCTACATAAAGCACTTGGCACAATTCTGTGTGAGGTGGATACAGCAATGTGCTGCCCAGATCCTCCTTCAGGAAGGAAAGAGTTATTTACCCAGCCCTACCCTCAGCTACCAGCCCACTTGGGGAATTTCCTTCACTGAAGAGAGCCGCTTTGGTCAAAGCCACGCCCCCTTCCAGGGGCAGCAGGCAATCAATGACCCATCAGTGGAGGAGTCTAAGGCCCACTCCCTTGCCCTGCTGGGATGGGTCTGAAGGTCTGTGCCAGCCCCAGGGCCTGCTCATGGGCTCAGCTGAGTCTTCCTCGAGACCCCACTGCAGCCCAGCCTCTCCCTCTGCTCCCTTCCCTCCCACAGGTATTGACCCAAGAGCACCCCCTAATATGCTAATTTCTTTCCCAGAGACTGTTTCCTGGGAAATCTGCCCTGTAACAGTGAGCACAGAGTCTGACCTGGCTCTAACACCAGGTGGGCCTGTGCATGATAGCTAGGCCCCTGGTGCTGGCAATCTGCTCCAAGCTTCAATACCTGAGTGGCTGGTGCCCAGGGGCCGAGGATGGTCCCTTGGTCCCACCACCCAGCCACCTCTCAGCACCCCCTCCCCTGTCGCTGTTGGGACAGGGGTGAGGGGGAGATTTAGGAGCTTGGGAAAACTATTGGGGAGGAGGGCTACTCTCAGCTGAGCCTTCCTCTCAGCTCCAGTCAATGGCCACTGTGGGAAAGAGGCGGAAAGGTGGTTCTCACTCCTCTTTGTGATTTACACTGGACAGCTCAGGGCAGCCTGACCTAACCGCCCCCGCCTTCCTGCTCGAGAAGGGCCCACAAAACTTCATGGTCTCCCACCCTTGGGCTTTGGCCCCATGTCCCTCTCAGCCAACTGTTCTGACATCTCAGCTTGCAGCTCTTTCTGGCTTGGAAACCATAGAAAGTCATTTTTTACCTTCTGAGTTGATGCAGGAGTTGAACCACCCCTCCTCTCCAGCCAAGCAGCCTGAGAGAGACATCAGGGTCCAAAGACACCTGTGTCTTCAAAAACGGTGCCCCCCCCTCCACTCTGCAGCTGGGGAGAGGTGACCCAGCAGCAGGGCTCTGGGCTGGGCAGCAACTCTTATTTGTAGGTTAACCCCAGGCAAGTCACTTAACCTCAACTTGGTCATCTGAGAAAAGACACTCCTATCCATTCTTCGAGGCCCACCTCAGGGGTGTCAGAGGGGGTCCTTGCTCCACGCCTAGCACAGTGACTGAGAGAAGCAAATGCAACAGTGACGGTAAAGTCCAGGGTCAGCTCCAAAGTGCCAGGATGGGGTGATGGGCACAGATTCTCCACCTAGGGAGGGAGATTTTCCTCCCTTCCTTTTAGGGCCGCTGGAGAAAGCACATCAGGAAACAAGAAAGGCTGGAGCTTGGAACATTCTGAACCTTCGAAAAGGCTCCCTGTGGGTGGGAGGAGGAAACCTCCAGAAAAAAGCCAGTGAGTGCGGCAGGTAGGGGCTGGGTAAGCCGGGGCAGTCCGATCTTGCTCACATGCCGACGTTCAGAGCTCCTGGTTTTTCCAGAGAAGCTAGAAATACAAGAGTTTTGATATGTGTATATATTTTCAATGAAGTTTTTGGATTTTAAAATGTTGCCTCCAAATTCAAAATTTTCAAAAACCATCAAGGGCCATATAAATTATGTCTAGGGGCCAAAGCATCTGACTCCCCACTTGCGGCCTGTGACTCCCGGGTAAGGGAGCTCCCTCCATGGCTGCCGTTAGGCCCTGGACCACCGCGTGTGCTGCAGCCGCCTCCTCTACCTCCATGATGACGATGTCCATTCGATGTGTGTAGACTTTATCATAGTTTATCTCACAATAAGAAAGCAAAGCTCAGAGAGGTTATCTGCACACACAGCAGGTACATGGAAAATTCAAGACCAGAAGCTTGGTCTGTCTGATTGCAAAGTTGGGGCTGATTCCTCTGCATAGTCACTGGGATTGACCTCCAGGTTTCTCCAAAGTGATACAGAAATTAAGGGGGGAGGTGGCCCCAAGCATTCGCCTGTTTACTCTGGGGTACCACAGGGCAGATGGGCAGCCAGTCACCTGTCTGGTCCTTGTCCTCTCTTTGGCAGCACAGACGTAGTGCACTGTCATTGTTTCTGAGTCAGTTTCTCTAACTGGAGTGTAAACTCCTTGAGTTTGGGCCCGTACACCTTCTTTATCCCAGAACCCCCAGGGAACTGTTCCAGAGTAGATGCTTACTAAATGGTGGTTGAACGCAACAGAACTAGATGCCAGTGGCTCACATCTGCTCATGGAACTTGCCCTCTCCTTAGACGCTTTGGATGTCTCTGTTTATGTGAGGCCTGCTTGAGTTCCACCTCTCCCTGGCGACCCCAAATCCCCGTTCTCTTCCTCTAAAACCACAACAGTTGCTGTCTCCATCACTCTGGTAATTAGAACTCAGTACTTAGAAGGTTCTCAAAATATGTTTATCCAAATCAATGGATATTTAGCTCCTGAGGTTCTGTTTTGAATTCATATCTTGGTTGCCCAATCATGATATGAAGCAATTTGGGGGCAGGGTCCCCGTTTTTCTCCTTTTGGATTCCTCACAGCAGGGATATTGTGTTAAGTTGTCCCCTGGCAAGAGAATCAATTGAACCCTGAAATCCACCCCATGAGCCCCTCCCCAAGCTCCTGTGCCAGCTGGTTTCCTTTTTCATACTAGTTAAAGGGGGGTACCTTTTTATCATTCTTTCTAATTCCTTGTCATTTGCACAAAGGCACCATATGTATTCTTGGAGACCCCATCTCTCTGCTCCTGCACAGTGTCAGAACATGGAAGATGCTCAGCGTGTCGGTTGCCTAAGTTTATTCAACTCAGCAAACATCTGCTGAGTGCTTACTATGTACAAGGTTTATCCATGGTTGAAATATCCAGGAATGTGGAACAGATTAATTTTCAGGACATCAGCAGCATGTCCACTCAGGTTAGCCTGTAGTTAACGCCCTATCAAGTCAGCTGGCTTCCCTAATGTCCTTGACGTTTTATTATAGGTTCATCCTAGACACACCCTGGAAACTTGCTTCTCTGGGCCTGGGCCAAAACTCTGGGCCAAAACCTGCAGGGTCAAGGCCTACACATAACTGGAATCTAAGCAGATAAGCAGGAAGGAGAAGCACACAGCAAAATGACACCCAGACAGCAGTGTACAAAACGAGCCAGGACTGAAGTCCAAGGGCCTTGGCTGTGGCTCAGGCCTGGCTCCTCAGAGCCAAGGCCTCCCTACCCCCACCCCCCAGGCCGCCCTGCCCTGCTGGTTCTGAATACCAACATTCCCTGGAAAGGGCCAGACGTGGGTGGTACACAAAGAAAGGAAGGTAGGATGAAGCTATATTTGGTGCCTGGTGGAGAAGGATGGGAGAGCTCAGGGAGCTCAGGGAAGGAAGGGGAGAGGCCCTGGAGAGAAAGCAGTGGTGGAGTGCCACCATCTTCCATTGAGGCAAGGCCCTGTACGCATTGGCCCTGAGAGTTCCTTATAACTGTACTTGGTCAGCTCCAATCCCGGCCCAGCTCATGGGCCAAAAATGCCCTCACCAAGTAGCCAGAAGATGTTTTGCATTTTTGCTTTACCCATTTTGTTTGCAGAAGTGACAATGATCTTAGATGCCAGGGCCTCTCCAATTCTTCCACAGAAGTCCCTATAGCAGGAGGAGACCTGGGCATTTAGCTAGAGGCTAATAAATTTCTACCAAGTTGCATGTTTTATTAACATATTTAATTATATTATATATAATATATTAATCATATTATACTAATTAATATATTTAAAAGTTAACAAAACTATTGTATTCCATATTATATCCTGTTACACAAAAATGTTTTCTCCATAAATTTTTTTGAGTGAAATTGATACTCCAGGAAGAAGTGCTAGGTTTATTTTGTCACTTTGCATTTACATCCCCTACTCCCCTGCTGCTGTGTACACTCGGGGTACACATGCCCAAGTGGGAAGATGTTATTCACCATAAGCTTTTCTCCTGGTGCAGAGCGTCCCCACCCTGCAGCCTAGTCTCTCTGATGCCTAACTGCCCAAACTCTACCCCTCAGTTCAAGGCTCAGCTCCAGTGTACTTTCCCCATCAGGTCACCCCAGATTCCCCTCGGCCTAGAAGTCATCTCTGCCTCTCTGAACACTCTCAGCTCTTTCTGTGCACCTCATTCATCTCTCATTAATTTCCACCTTGTTAGTCTTTTGTGTATCTGTCTTATTTTCCTCATGACATGTCAGCTCCTTGAGAAGGGAGTCTATGCTTCATTTCTCCCTGTATCTACTATGGAAACTGGCTCTATTTATTTAGGAGGTACTTGGTACATGCTGAATGTATCTTCATACATCTTCATATAATAACAAAAATACAGGGCAATTTCACTGGTTGATGCAAACCTCTGCTCTGGGGTGTACTGTACTTGGTTACAACAGGTCTATGGCTTGGGCCTGGGAATGGGGCGGGGGGGGGGCAGTATGTTGCCTTCAGTGTCATAATGGCTCATTTTATAGTAGGAAATGACTCATGCAGACTGAAAGGATTCACCCAACAATGGAGCAACAGCAATGAGAACAGGATCATACCTTAATGTTGTCTTCTGGCCAAGAGTTCAGCATTGTTGCAAGGTGGCCCTTGTCATGGATGGTGATGAAGAGCCCCCTGAGAGAAAGAAAACACGTGCACACAGATCAGGCAGTCAGACTAGGAACAGAGCAAAGACCACAAGTACTATGTATTGCGTTACTTGTTTTGCCCATAGACCTAGGCAAGAGAGATCCTGTCCAGAGCCCCACCAGTTTAGAGGGTGCTGCTCTGGCCTTCCTCCAACTGTTCCTCTCCACAGGACAAAGAGTCCATGGGGCCGAGGGGTGTGCCCCTCTGGAGCCTGTGCTCACCAGAGTCTGCTCTCCCTCCTTTCTCTAGACCAGGTCCCCAGGATCCCAGAATTCTCTAACTGAATGGCTCCAAAGCTGCTTCCAGGGACTGTGGGGGCCTCTTCTCCAGGTCCCTCTTCCCAAGTACAGACCACACTGCAATGGCTGGGCACTTAAGCCTGGGGCTGTGACTAGACATTTTGACATGTGGGATGGGATGTTCAGATACATGTGCATGAGGTCCTTGCAGTGAGGGATGGAAGAGGGACGGAAAGAGAGGTGAGTGCCAGTCATGAGCCACCCCTTAAATACATATATACACATATATGTATGTATGTATATATGTGTGCGTGTGTTTTAAAGGCAACAAGGGTTGGCCAAATGCTGGCAGAAACTGGAGGGAAGCTACCTTTGAAAGCAGGGATTAAACCTTTTGAGATTTACAAGTTTGCAGCACCTTTTTTCCTGTTAGTAGTCCAATCTGCAAGCAATTTAGGGCAGCAGAAAGACAAAGTCTTACTAGCATAAAGTAACAGAGAATAGAATTGGGGCTGGAAGAGCCAGGAAGTGAAGGGGTGTGTGCGTGTGGAAATTCTGGAAGGGAAGAAGCTACAGAGGGATCGAACTCTGAAATCTGTGTATGAAATCTGCCCAAATCATTGGCTGAACATTAAATTAAGAATACATGGGGGACTGGCAAAAAACAAAAGCAAAACAAAACAAAACAAAAACCCTATAGCTGGAAGCTCAGATTTCAGTTGTTGCTGATTAGGAGACACAGAGTTTGGAGTTTGAGTCCAGCATAATTAACTCTCTCCTAGAACAAACATTACTAATCTGAGAAATAAAACAGAATCCAGAGTCCAGAGAATCCAGGGTACATAGAGGTCCATTGTAATATTCTGCCTCCTTTATATATGTTAGAAATTCTCCACAAGAAAAAATTAAAATAACAATAAAAATACCACTGAACTCCAAATTGTTCTTGATCCCCACATTCTTTGCCAGGACTGTGCTTTCTCTCTCCTCCCTTCCATTGCCAAACTTCTTAAAAACACTACCTATACTAGCTGCCTCCATTTTTTCATCTCCTTCTCATTCTTCAACCCACTGCAATATGTCTTTTCTCAATTACCATACTACTAAAACTATTCTTGCTAAGGCTACCGATGACCTTCGAATTCCTAAATGCAATGGAAACTTACTATCAGCCCCCATCTCCTTTGACTTCTCAATAGCATCTGGTACTTTTAATCCCCCGACCCCAAACTTTATCTTCTATGACTCCACTTTCTTTGAGTTTTCCTCCTATTTCTCTAGCTGTTCCTTCTCAGTTTCTTCTGCTGGGTAAGTCATCCAGCCATTATTCATTAAAGCTCCTCAAAAATTTGTACCATCCCACTTTTCTTCTTCTTCTTCTTATTCTATGTGATCTCATTAGTTCCCAAGGTCTTTGGCCAATGACTCCCAAATACCTGTAAACCAGAGTTTCTGATCTATTGACATTTTGGGTTGGGTAATTCTTTGCTGTGAGGGGTGAGGCTGTCTTGTGCATTGTAGGGTATTTGTCATCATCTCTCTAGATGCCACTAGCACCCCACACCCCATTGTGACAACCAAAAATATCTCCAGACATTGGCAAATGTCCCCTGGGGGAAAAAAATCACTCATTACTTTAGAGCCATTGCTCTAGACCTTTCTACGTAACTGCCTATCTGACATCTCCCTTCGCATGTCTCAAAGGCACTTCAAACTTAACATGTCCCAAAACAAAGTTATGATCTAAACTTCCACCACTATGACTCAAAGACAAGACAAAACAAAGACTCAAGACAAAATTGATTCTTTTTCCTGCTCTCTCTCTCTCAGTGAGGATTACCCCCACATATCCAGTTTAACAATCCCAACCCCCTGAAATCATCCTTGACACTTTCCTGTCTCCTTTTGTACAACCCATTGCCAAGTCCTTCAATTCTACTTTCTAAATAGCTTCTGATTCATACACTTCTTTTATCAATACCATTACACTGTTATTGGTCCAGGCTTCCAATATGAATTGCCTAAAGTGCCACAATAACTTTGTAACATCCCTGCTTGTCCAATCCCCAATCTATTTTCCATATGGTAGCAAGAATGATGCTCTCAAAATCAGTCTTACTGTTTTACCCCTTGTGCTAAAAACCTTCGATGTCTTCCCATGGCTCTTAAAATAAAGACTGAAGTCGTTAACATATCCCATAGGGTGCTGTGCAGTTGGGCACTGGTTGATTTCTTTCTTTTTTTTTTTTTTGAGACAGAATCTCACTCTGTTGCCTGGGCTACAGTGCCGTGGTGTCAGTCTAGCTCATAGCAACCTCAAACTCCTCGGCTCAAGCAATCCTTCTGCCTCAGCCTCCCAAGTAGCTGGAACTACAGGCATGCGCCACCATGCCCAGCTAATTTTTTCTATATATTTTTAGTTGGTCAATTAATTTCTTTCTATTTTTAGTAGAGACGGGGGTCTCGCTCTTGCTCAGGCTGGTTTCGAACTCCTGATCTTGAGCAATCCGCCCGCCTTGGCCTCCCAGAGTGCTAGGATTACAGGCGTGAGCCACTGCGCCCTGGCAGATTTCTTTACTTCACCTTGTTCCCCTCTCCTCCCACTCTCCAGTCTCAGCCGCACAGGCCCCTTTCCACTCCTCCGTGTGCCACGCTCTTCCTCATGTTCTTCCTACCCCAGGGCACACACTGTTCCTTCTGCCTGATGCACCTGCTCCTCCTCACCCTTTAGTTAGTTAATTCTACTCATTCTTTTGATAATTCTGAAATCGAGGGCTAGCTTGATCAAGCTGACCACATTTAACCTGCTTTGCTTGCTTCTAATCACTTACTTCTAGTTGACCTCAAAACCTACATAGCTAAAATTCACACAGGCAAACCATACATAACTAAACTCCTACTGGCTTCCTTACAGATAACATCTCTGACTGAGGGTCGCCATAGTAACCATTGCTTAAAGTTGTTTTTCAGGAACTTGGGGGCAGCTCCTATACGGTTCAACCTGGTTAAGACCACCCACCCTCCAACTGGGCCTGTGTAGGTGCCTGAAGAGCGACCTTTCGACGACAGAGAGCCAAAAACTCCATCCTCAGATTGTTGTAATGGCACCATTTTCTGAACATGTGTCCTATTAAGAGCCAGGGAGCTTGTGTAGATTATGCTTGCACAGAACCCCACTTACTTCACCTTTCCTACCCGCCAATCACCTTTCTCTACATTTTCAACCTCCTTGCTTCCTATCCTGTAAATACTCCCAAGCCCTATTTTCAGGCAGGTGGATTTGAGATCTGTTCTCCTGCCTCCTTGCTTGGCTGCCTCGTGAATAAACCCTGTCTTTTTGCAAAAACCACTGTCAGAGTGATTGGCTTACTGTGCACAGGTGGAACGAACCTGGTCAGTACCACTTTCAAGTTAAGGTAGATGCTCCCTGTTATCAACACTTTTACATTCAAACTTGAGGTCCTATAATTTCAAAGGACCCCTTTCCTCTTTTTTTTTTTTTTACATGTATAATTTCCTACTCTGCAGATTACACTGCAAAAATAACACCTTTTGAAATGCATTTAGAGCTTTCAAGCACTTCTCAAAGTGCTTTTCCATCTATTACCTAAATTCTAGCCATGAATGATCTCAAAAAATTACCTTGGATAAAGATTTTGAGATGTCGAGTCCAAATACCTCATTTTATAAATGAGGACATTGAAGTCCAGAGAGGTGAAGTGACTTGTCCAAATTCACACAGCTCCTAAGCAACCAGACCTACTTGAACCAGGATTCTGAGTCTAACACTCTTTCCGCTAATTCAGGCTGCCTGTTCTGTCAGGGATCTAGTTCCTGACAAACAGCTAGAAGTGTGGCGTGAAGTGAACCAAACTGAAATGCACACCAGGGGCACTAATGAAATATTTTCCTTTAACGTATGTTGAGGAAGCAAAATGTGCAGGGTGAGAGATTATGATAATAAACAAAGGGATTACAGGTCCCGGCAGGATCGTAGGAGCAGGGTCTCTTGCCCATCTGCCCATTTCCTCGGAACTGCAAATAGACAAGCTCAGAAAGCAGATACAAAACTCCCAGGGATGCAAACCTCTTCTTCAATGACTTCAACAATTTATTTTCAAGTTTAGCAACTTTTCACTAAGCGGACACCATTTTCTCCAGCAGTAACTGGGTTGGTTCTTATCTGTTTCCATGAGGTTCTGGTTTACTGAGGAATGCAGACACTCACCTCTTGCATTCCTTCTTAGTGGCTTCAGGAAGAATATTTAGGTGCCCTCGAGAGATGCTCCCATCTAGGCCTGCTTAGTTTCATCCTGAGACTTCACACCCTCAGGAGTCCCTGAGTCTAGAATGGGGATTTCCAATAATACACACCACTGACAAGTGATGTGGCTTCAAGCAATTCAAGTGAAGTTTTAGAGAAACGTGAAAGGGAAGGTAGCATAGACCAGTGGTCAAATGTAGTGCTTTGCAACCACAGCGTCCGGGCTCCAAGCCTGGCGCTACCACTCACTAGCTGCAACAGCTATGAACGACTTGCTTTCCTCAAGCTTCAGTTCCCCACATGTAAAATGGAGGAAATAACACCACCTGCTCCATAATAACAACTAAATAAGACAATGCATATTTAAAGAGTGTGTTACAGTGTATGCTGGCAGGAGCCAACATTTACCAAATGGTAGGTCTTCCTGTTGCTGATTAAGCATAGTGGTTAAGAGCACAGGCTTGGGAGTCAGATCACCTGTG